AATAAAAGTAGCTGAGGATGTGGTTTGTAGTGGTTAAGTGACCTTGGATGCTTCAAGAGCAGTATTAATGAGCTACACCATCCTCATACTCTGCCCAAAGCAGCCATGCTGAAGTAGAATGCATTTGAAGGCATAGGATCTGGCACAGTGGTCATTTAAAAAAAAAAAAAAAAAAAAAATCACATTTTAAAAGCACCATCATTCTTATCAAGAAGAATTATTCTACAGTCAGTAAACTGACAAGAGCAAGCAGCTTAACAGCAAAAAAACATTAGTTTCTGGCTGAGGATACATTTGTTTCCCTTACTTTTACAAGGGTGACCCTCATTAGGGAGTTCAAGTTGAGAATGTGATTACATCTTATGAGATGAAGTAATAGTTTGTCTCCTTTCAATATACTACCATCTCAATGCTTACTCCTACAACAAATGAATGATCAGATAGGAGGAACTCAAGGTCAGAAAACCTTTGAAGAGATGGTCTTTCCCTCCAAGCTCACGAGCTAGCAGGTGGAAGGTGTTCTGTGTTACCCAAGCGATGAACATAAAAGACAATCTGAATCTCCAGATAAGGATGATCATTCAGCACCTCTCCTATGGGAGACAAAATAGACCGACTTGATCTAGTTTCATCCCTGGATTCACTGTGGTCACTTCTGAAAGCTGCCTGCTTTGCTCAATCTCACATGAGGGAAGGATATTACACACCACCCCCACCCCCATCATGCAAATAACCATGAGTATAAATGAGATCGTTAACCTTAGTAGGAACCTAAGGGCAGAAATACATGTAAGACCAAAATTACAGGTAACGTGAGGATGTTCACAACTAAGCCTGCTTTGTCAGCTCCTGCATCCACCAACAGCCTGTCGTTCCACATTCACACACTGTGCTAAACTTTTGAGGAGCGTAACAATTACTTCTTGACAGGGCCACTTATTCCATAGACTTGGCAAGTCCCAGAGAAAACAGATGGGCTTTCCACTGGGTATCTAAGCCAAGAGCCTTGCCAAAATCATGGAAGATGTTACACCACAGGAGTCTCTCTGGTATAGAAGGGTCATGGCCTGGAAATGGAGGTGGGGGTGCAGGCAAAATTTAAAGCTATGACATGTTGAGTGCCCATAGAACACCCATTTAGGGAACTGTGAGGAATGCAAGCATAAGATTCAACCATCTTGAATGAAGTCAATTTGGCAAATATGCATTAAACTCAATTACATATATAAAAAAATTGAAAATCCATGATTACCTGTGATCAAAGGATTTTTGTTGTTCTGGTGCTATTGGGGATTGAACACATGCTGACTACCAATGAGCTACACCCCCAGCCCTTTTTGTGTTATTGAGGCAGGGTCTCACAAGGTCTCCAAGGCTGGCCTCTAACTTGTTAACATTCCTACCTCCCAAATAGCTGGAATTAAAGGGCATGCCACCATGCCTAGCTTCAAAGCTTTCTACTTGGTTTTGTACAGCATCCTAGTTTTAGCAGAAACTTTAAGTAACTGACATAGGATAAAATGACTATTAGTGAACTCACCGTCCAAATTAATAGACTATTAGTAGTACTGTCCCGATTCCTGCTCCCCCGCCACTCCCACCTAATTATTCTGTGATTTCCTTTTTCCCCCATTCCCCGTTTTCTGATTTTTTACCATGTGCATAGCCTTTGGTACTGTTCATTTTGCTTCACAAGTAGTATTCTGTATGTATTCTCTTCCAAAGCACCTTCAATGATGATACCTAAGTGGGGTATCACAGGAAATAACATGCTCTACAAACGTACCATGGCGGGTGGGGCTGTGCTGGGGTCTGGGTAGACACTTGGGAAAAGCAGCTGAATCAGCCTGGAGTGAATGGCCAGCGCACAAAGATAGTTATACAGCACAGTCTACTGGCCCTAGCATCTGCCCCCTCCATTCCCCCGACACCAGCATCCAGCTCACAATACAAATGGAATTTTATTGCCTGGCATCCTTCCTTCCTCTCATGGAGAGTTTCTCCAAACTGGGAAGCCCCAACTTCTTAGTGATGAACACATTATCAGTCTTTTAATTTCACATAGAAGGATGCTCCTATTCCCCTCAGAGGTTCCTGTCACAGCGCATTTGAGGTAACACTGGCAAAACTCTCCAGAAAAATTAGCTTTTCAGAATGGGCCTCTTTGTTCCTCCCTAAACAAAGGTGAGGACAGCTGCATGGCCTAGGCCATTACTAGAATCATTCAAGGGAGGTCAGGGAGCCAGGCACAGAGGTGTGCATCTCCACATCCAGCTACTAGAGGCTGAGACAGGAAGATCACTTGAATCCAGGAGTCCATCCACAACACACAGGGTGATGGAGACAAAGTTTATTCACTGGCTCATAAATTGTAAGTATTATGAGCCATTACTCTGGAACTCGGGTGGAAAAGTTCGATCATTTTCACAGGTAAATTAGCAAGATAACAGCAAGGCTCATCCATACTTGGATCCAGATAACATGATGACTTTCCTTGTGTCCAACCTCAATGCACAATTGGAGGACATTTCTGAACTGTTAAAAAATTAAGTTTTTAGTTGTAGATAATACATTTTTATGTGGTGCCAAGGATCAAACTTAGTGCCTCACACATGCAAGGCAAGTGCTCTACCACTGAACCTGAACCCCACGCCTCTGAACTACTTTGACAAGCTCCCGAGACTATAAAGGAACTTCTAAGGCTCTTCTCATATGCCAAGAAAGGGCCCCATCAGCTAGCCAAAGCTGGCAACTCGAGGAGTGTGTGCCCATTTCCCAAACACCTGTCCAGACAATTTGCACCATCTGCCCTTCAGCACATCCTCTCTTCCTCCAATCTTGATGGAATTTTCTCTGCTAATTGGTGGGGAGAGGAACAGTGCTAAGTATAAAGGACCCTCCAGGTTTGGGCTTCTTTCATGCACAAATAGTGTTCTAGACATACCATCAAGTGACAGATGCCTCATGGAGAGAAGCCAGGTAGCTCTTACAGTGTATGTCTAAGGTCCCTCACTTGTACATGGGGATGACAAGCGCCTGAGCTGGAAGGTTGAATGTGTTAACAGTGAGAAGAAATTATCTGGCACAAAAGCTCTTTAGAGCAGCTCTTGTAACAGCAGTTTTTCCAACTGCAGAGCTCAAAGGTATGCAAGCTCAGAATAAAGGAGAAAATACATGCCAAGCTTCCTCATTTGAAATTTTTTTTTAAGTCCTGCATATTCTTTCACTACCTTTCCTATCAAAAATTATTAAGAGTAAAAACAGCTACAAATAATGTCAGCTACTACCGATATTTATGGTATTCATGCAGTTTACCTATGAAAAGGTGCTCAACATTCCAGGTATAGTCAACAAAAACCTGAAAGTTGGTACAAATAAGGTTTAAGGCACTGGGTTTGATCCTTGGCACCACATAAAAATAACAATGGCCAGGCTTGGAAGGTGAAAAAACAGACTGACAGGTTCTTTTTTGGAGGCTACAAGGCATATCATGCCAGCAATTCCACCTTTAGAAATTAATCCTGAAGTAGTAACAATGAGATAAGAATGTACAGAAACATTCAGGGAAAAAACCTAGATGTTCGTAAAAATTAGAATGGTTAAAAACATTATGATACATCTTTACAGGCCATATCATGCTATTAAAGATGGTAAAATTGCCTTCATATGCTACAGAAAAAAAGCCATAAGATTTAGAGTAAAAAAAATATAAATGGGACCATGCCATGCATTTTAAGCACACACTGGACAAGTCTAGAACAGCTTTGCCCAAATAAAATACAAGCACAAATGTGAATAGCATAGGAAAGGTGGTATATCCTAATGCCCACCTTAAAAATTAGGTGAACGGAGTAAAATATTTTGGCCCAGTAGAAGTTATATAAATGATAAACAGACTTTTACATTTGTTTTTGTTAGTCTTGGAAAGCTGGTGTGCGTGACTTAAGACTCATCCTCATTTGGACCTGCCTCATCTCAAAGTGCTTGACAGCCATGTGTAGTTACTGTACTTGACATAACAGGTCCAAAGAATACACAGATAGCCATTTCTGCCCATGGTACAAAGCCTTTGTCTTTCCTGCATTATATGAATTGCTTCAATAACCATTCATATTCAGAAGGAAAAGAGGAACATTGTGAAAAATGCTTTTTAATTTTCCCTTAAAGCTGTAAGGGACCAGAAAGCACAGCTGAAATTTAAAACTTCAAACTGTTCTTATTCCTTCCCCGAGTGAACGGGGTTAGGAATCTTTTCTACCACCACCACCCAGCACTGGCACTGAAGGAGGAAGCCAGACACGGTACATGTATCAGAGGTACCTCACGTAATCCTCCAAAACTATCCCATGATGCAGGTAACCTTGATTTATCTGGAAAACTGGGGTGCCAACTATCTGCTCCAAGGGACCAGAGCCAAGAGCCTGTGGACACAGCATCCAGGGCGGTCCACATCAGTATCAAAGCCACAAAGGCCAGGACTGCCCACACCACAAACACCCTGTCACCCTTACTGACATGGCAGTTGTCCTAGAGCCCTTCCTCAAAGGTGAATCCCAGGTATCTCATACGATCCAAGGATCACATAAGATCTAGGTTTCTAAATCCAACATTTCTCCAAGCTCCAATATCAACCATTATTTCTACTTAATACAAACCGTCGTCACCCCAAATCCAAGATGTTGAAAAGAAAAATATTATCCTTGTCCCCAGCCCGACATCTTCTTTCTGTCCATAGTCAAGCCAGAAATCAAGGTCAAACTGACTCGTCTCCTTCCCTGGTCCTTCAATCTAACACTTAAGTTCTAGTCTCAGTAATTCTTAAATATAAGCAGCAAGAACAAGCACACCTTGCACCCAGATCTTGGTTTACAAGTTCCATTCTTCAATAAAAGAATGGACATCTCAGCCAAGGGATCAAAGTGACCCCGTCAGTAATGGGATACATCGCTATACACTGTGAAAGGCACAGTATTTCTGATATGTTCTTGCCAAGAACTCACAACCTCCATGTACGCATAAGATAAGGCCAGGTAAAGAGTCACTCTACAAAATAAGTGACAGATACCCATAGAGTGCCAAGGTCAAAGAGAAACTGAGCAACTGCTGCCAACGGAGTCTAGGGAGTTATGAATTAAAGGCCATGTGGATCCCAAATGGGACCCTATCCCTGGGGGAGGGGGGGAGAGGACCTTTTGTGAAAAACCCAGCAACATTAGAGTAACATCTGTAGACTAGAAGTGACTAGAAGTATTATACAAACATTTCCCAATTTCAATAATTGCATGCTGGTTACATGAAGTATCAACATTAGGGAAATCTGGGAAAATATACTCAAGAGTTTGTGCTATTTTATGACATTTCTATAATCCTAAATATTGCTTCAAAGTAAAAAGTAATGCCGGCTATGTGCAGTGGTATGTGACTATAATTCCAGCTACCCAGAAAGGCAATAGGATCACAAGTTCAAGGCCAGCCTGGGCAACTCAGAGACCCTGTCTCACAATAAAATAGGGCTGGGTATATAGTTCAGTGGTACAGCACCCCAGGGCTCAATCCCCAGTACAAAAACACATACTATTACCTATCCCTAAACATGCCTAGATCACATTCCTAGTCCCTTGCATGGGCAACAGGGTAGTGGAGAGTGTGGCTGCATAGTCACAAATCAAGACCTCCGGAGACCAAACTGGAAGCAGGTGATCTTATAAACCTAAATACAGAGCTACCAGTATAACTAAAAACTGGAGGGTCCTCAAAATGTGATAATGGCATATGTTCTACAAGCAGCTCAAATAGAGCCGAGACGTCACGTGAAGGACCACAAAAGAAGGTCAGGACAACAACCTACTCTGGAAGCACAGGTACAGGCAGTTGGATATGCCATGCAAACTTCAACTTCACAAAAACTTTGGAATTCTGATGATTGCCAGCAGGGCCAAAAAGGATCCACTGAATTTTACAGGCCAACTGAGAAAGGGGAGCAAAGGGAGAGAAGTGGAGCTATGGATGAGAAGGAGAAGGCAACACGCAAGGCCGACAGGCTGGGAGGGAAAGCGGGAGTGGGGCACCAGACCTCCATTCACTCTAGCCTCACCCGAGTCCTACAGAGGCCAAAGCCTTTACGCTTCTTAACCAATCCAAACTTCCAGGAGTTATAGGTTAATATGGTTCCCAGAATCAGATACCAAGATGATTCCTGCACAAGAGACTCAGTAGGCAGTTTCCCCAGGAAAGAAGGGGAAAGGAGGGGAGAGGAATGGGGAAGTGGGACAGGGAAAGTAGTAAAGGTGTAATATTGAGAAAGGTCCTAAGTACAGTAACTCTGATTCAACTCTGCAGAAAAACTCTGGAGCCAGGCATGGAGGCACACACCTATAATCCCAGTAGCTGAAGAGGCTGGGGCAGGAGGATTGTAAATTCAAAGCCAGCCTTAGCAGCTTGGTCAGCCTCTGTCTCAAAATGGAATGGTATTCAGATTAAGTGTCCCTGGGTTCAATCCCCAATACAAACAGAAAAACTTTGTTATGCCCCTATTGCTTATGGACTGTACCCATTTGCAGAGGCTGGAAATTCTCAGGCTTCCTGTGCATACATGCAAGGACAGCTTCAGGAAGCATTGACAAAGTGACATGAGTTTGTTATCAAGTGAGTAACCACCAACGTTGCATTCAGGGAATGGAATAAAGGGAAGATGAGAGGGATACTAATAGCATCCACTACCACCGAGTCCATGTCTCAACACCATCACTTTACAGAAAGCAGAGCACTCAGGAACCAATAGTATACTCCATCATTAGTCCCGCCAACCATGAGGAGGAATACAGCAAACAGGTGCTTCTTGCTGCCTTTTAGACTGATAACTTTGAGAAAACCTGATGCAGAGGTGAGGGAAATAAGACACCTGCTCGGAAGCACAGGAGTTTGATATATCATACATCGTTTTGATAGTAGAATGTCTAGTTAAAACAAATTTAAAAACAACCATAGGAATTCTGTTTTTCCAAAGAACTGGTACACCAAGTCAGTGCCCTTTCTGCTCCTGGGCTCAAAGCTACCACACAAGGTGTGTCCACCCGTAACCACCTAGCAACACACACACATCACTTGGCTGGGCGTGGTGGTGTATACCTGTAATCCCAGTGACTCTGAAGGCTGAGTGGAGGCTGAAACAAGAGGATTGCAAGCTAGTTCAAGACCAACCTCGAGACCCCATCTCCAAAAAAAAAAAAAAAAAAAAAAAAAAGTATATAAAAAAATGAGACTGGGCATGTAGCTCAATGGCAAAGTGCCCCTAGATTCAACCCCCAATACAAAACAAAAGCAAACCAGCCTGCTTGGGTCTGGGGATGTTTCTCAGCAGGAGAATGTTGTATTTGTTGTATTCAAAGCCCTAGGTTTAATCCCAACCACAAAATACAATAAAAATCCACTGTTCAAATACTACCTGGCAGTTAAAAGCAGGAAGATTTGAAGGAACCGATTTCAGTTTAATGACTTCCTAGACACTCTGCGACTAGAATCAAAGTAGCCTCTTGAAATGTTAGTTGCAACAGTAGCATTTTTTCCAACCAGAATAACCCCCTGTAAAGAGCAGTCATACTATCCATCCTGAGGGAGGTTATAGTTCATGTTTTAAAGTCAGATTTTCTGCCATCATAATCAAATCACATTCACCATGCTAGCATATGCTTGCTAAGACTTCTTTTGGGACCTGTACTCATCAAGCCCACATGTCTTTCGGCAATGCAGAAGCCAAGCACTAGCACTTGCCACTTGGGACAACAGAGCCATTGTCAGCTCCACCTTTCTGTGGGAGCAAGTGAGGCTGACTCACCTTGACATCACCCCAAAAGTGTCTGGAACTGACAATAAAGAGCTTTCTCCATCCTTCATGGAAGTATCTTTGCCTTCATTAATGGAAGTATCTTTTGCCAGTGACAAAAATACACCCCCACCCCCAGACATAGCATATGATCCTGCAGTTGAAAAGAGTAGATAAAGATCAAGAGTAAACAGGAGGATAGGGAAAAGTCTCAGGAAGGCACTAATATATTAAGCTCTTACCTGGAATGATTTGATACTCCATATTCAAATAACACCTTCCAACTGTCACTAAAGCAACAAGTATGATCAACATAGGGCTTTAAAATTTCCATCTCTAGTTTTAAATGCTGTTGACATAATGGATGTGTCCATGTGTAATACATACACTAAGGTGCATGTCCAGGTCCAGTGTTCATCACATTAGGAAAGCCCACTAACAGGTTTTTCATCAATACACCAAAATGAACAAGTCATCTCTAAGCAACAAAGGGAATCTGAGCAGCAGGCACAATTTCTCTGTATGATTTGATTCACACGCACACTAATAATCCAGCTTGGTGAGTGGGGTTATCACAGTAAGGAAACACTACTACTGCTTCTCACAGCAAGGCCTCAACACGTTTTAGTGCCCAAAAGGGCAGCAACTGTTCAAAACACAAACCTAGCAGCTACTACTTGGCCACAGAAAATCTCAACTTCAGATTCAAAAACTGAAGGATAATTAGAAACCCATTAAGAGCATGGTGCGGTCCACCAGCCCTAGGGAGGAACTGTAATACTGGTTTTAATTATGTCAAATCCTTCACACCAATGAAGCTAATTTTTAAAAGTTATCTTGTGACCCTCCAAGTCATTTTATTGGTAACAGCATTTTTGTGTAACTATAAGTATTCTGAAAAAACTAAGTCATTCCTTGTAATGTGCACGCAACATTCTTATTTCTAAGCAAAAGTCAAGTGTTTACAACTAACTGTTCTTTAAAAGCGATCCAGTATGTTTTTGAAAACTAAGGTCCCCAAAACTAGTTTACTTGATGGTATATTAGCTTCATACAATGCATCAATTAAACAGCTAAAAGGACGTTATGATATACTGCACGTGTAGTTGATCACTTGGTTTACCTAGGAACACAGGTTTATCTGCGTGCACTTTCAGGAGACAGTTTCAGCTGTGCAGTCAGTTTTTCCCTCCATTCCTCCAGGATTTCCAGCCTCCACACCCACTTCCTGACAACTAGCTTCAGGGAAACAAAACTGGAGCTTTGAGGGCTCCTTCCCAAGCCCTACCACTCAAAGGGTTGGGGTGCTTTATTTAAAGCCAGAATTGCCAGCGTTCGCGCTCTGGCTCCCACTTTCTCCACTCCTCTCCCAGAGGCTGCTTTCATCCATGATCCTTTCTCATCCTTCCAGGCGTCAAATCCCCAAAAGCGGTATCCAAGGCAGGTGATACCCTCCGCTATCACCTCATGAGAATCAACCCATGCTGGCTATGTCCCTTTTCTGTAGGGAGTTTTAAAAACTCTTGCAATCAAGGGCGGCGAGCCCTATGTACTGAAGGGCTCCCCCAAGCGCTGGACAGCAAGTAGCAGTCGCCAGGTAAGGTTGCGGAAGTAGTTCTTCCTACCCCGCCCAGACCTGTTGGCCTGGGCCGGCGTCCCAGCAATCACATACTCACCCACACGACGCGCGTCACACCACTCGGCACCGAGGCTTGCGCACACGGCACTGTCAAACCTGTCCCGGCTACAGGAGAAGATGAACAGGAAGCCTAAGCATCTGGAGGCTTTAAGCCGGCATGGGGCTGGTGCTTAAAGCCCTTCCGCACTCGCCTCACCCCGAACACCAGGGTGAAATCAGGAGCCCAAGCGACCGCTGCACGGCCATAGGCACTTGGGAGGCGGAGGCCCATTTTTAACTTCGACCACAGCACCTGCGTCTCCCCCGAGGCCGCACCTGTTCCCCCCTTACGAGCACCTAATCCCGCAGCCCATTCTAAACTTCAGGAATCCTAGAACTCCACACCTTGCCTCTGTTTCAGTATTAATGACCTCCTCCCCGCAATAACCGAATCCCGTTCTGTACCCACCCAGAGACGCCGTCTCAAAATGCCTGTCCCCAAATTAAGAAAGGGATCCCGTTTCCTGGGATCTCTGGAGCACCCCTCTAAGCACGGTTTACACCCCTCC